TGACACAGGAGGATGAGCTCGCAGCCGCCACATGCACCAGGCTGCACTGCTCACAGCAAGGTCACTGTAGGAGCATACTTCCTGTCCTCTGTGCAGAGCAGGAACACTGCAAGTGAACCCAGGTCACTTTCCTTATGCATCCCTGAACCCCAGGTAGAGGCCCCCTGCCTCCCATATCCCCACACTTTACTTACATGGCTCTTGGGATATAAGGAGCCCTCATGTCACTGTTGCTCTTCTGCAATTTCTCCTCCCTACCTTTGCCTCACTTGTTAACCCCCAGGTCTCCACCCAAAGAGAGCATTCACAGCTTCCAGAATTTCAGTTCCAGTGAGGCAAAGTGCCCCTCTTCCTCTCCGGTCACCACTTTAAAACACCACCAGGGCAGGACCAGTGTGGAAAAAGAGGAAGGAGGCTATGAAATCCTGCTGATAGAAAAGTCATGGTGGGCTGGTTTGTGTTTTTATCTTTTATTTTTCCAAGGTTGGGATCCCTTCCCTTCTTCCATCTGGCACAAAAAGCACTTGGAGGCCAGTAACTGGACCTGGCCTTCAAAAGCCAGTGAGCATCAACAGGAAAACGAATTCCAGACACACGGGACAATGGCCTTTTCAAGGCACAGAATGCTGCTCAGTATTGTACTGTTTGCATGTGATGCAGCTCTTGAACGCACACAAACACTCCCATTTGCACCAGCCCTGTGACGGTGACTTATTTACTGCTGAAGATGCGGGAGCCGATTCGAACTGCAGACATCTAACCCCACCCTAAAAGGGAGGGAAAAAAAACAACTGACAACAACAAAAAGCCGCGTACGACAAAGGAAAAGCCGACCACTGTGTGACTGCGGGACTGGAACTCTGAAGTGGGCACCAGGTGCATTAATTACACTTGATTGCGTGTTGGTTTATGACTGCGGTCACTTGTGTGTTACGTTCTTGCCCCACAGCATCTGTGCCGAAGGATATCCTTGATATTTCACTAAGCAAGATGAATATTGGCCAGATGGTGACTTCATGAGGACATAATTCACATATCATTTTCCTGCCCCGACACAGATTTCTGTGAAGGAATCTTGAATGCCATGCTGAACAAAACAGGACAAGAAAACTCAACACCCCGAGAAGGCTCAACCAGAAGTTGAAGATTAATGGTCTCCACAGTGACGCCGACAGGAACCCAAATGGCAGCCGGATCCCAGGCTCATGCTGCAGTTCCTGCCAACCCATCTCTCTGTCGCTTGCAGAGTGAGCTGACATCGTCTGAGGCATCTCCAATTCACTCGAGGGGGGAAGAGCATTCCCTGGGCCCCAAAAAGACACACCTTGGAAAACTGGGTCATTTACCTTTCTTTAAATAATTTGTTTTGTGTAGTGACAGGCTTTGTCAGCACCTGCGTGCTTGGTAATTTGACTTTGACGGTGACCAAGTAAAGAATGTGTTCTGGGCTCCAGCAGCCTGCTCATTCTGGTGCACTAGAAGGGGAGAACGGGAGAAAAGCAAATCCCTCTCCTTGGAAACTCTTAGAAAGCAGCAGTGAGAAGCGCTGGTATTATCAGGCCACCAGCTAGCAAGCAAAATGGCCCAGTTTTGAGTCGCTTTAGGAAAGTTCTTGCTCTTTGAGAGTACTATGTATCTGACCCACATGGAGTTAAAATGGTAGGCGTTACACACTTGTCAGTGGTATTTTAAATGTGGTAAGCTCTGTCTGTCTGGAATTTGTAAAATCTCTACAACCTACACCCTTGAGTCCTGAACCATGAAATAAAGATATGGAGAGTGAAGGTCATCCTGCTGCTAAACAAAGTCAGCCCAAGAGAGTCAGAAAGCAATAGAAGCAGGGGCTTGGGGTGTCACATTCCTGAGATCTCTGTGTGCAGATTGCCCCTGTCCTAGTGATGTGGAGCCAAGACACAAGTCCTCAAGCAAGACCAAAACCATCCCTGCAAAATCACATCACCATGTTGAGTGGTTGCTGTTTGCTTGTTTTGAAGGAATAAACAGGAGTAATAAAAGAGATGGAGGCAATTTCTTATACACACACTGCAGGTGAGACTCCCTGCTGCACACACCCCAATAACTCCTGCGGCCTCCTGTGAGGTGTGCCCATCAAGAGATTGTGCCCCGGCATCAGACTGCTTGCTCTGCCACCTACTGCTGCGTGACCTCACACAACTGACTTAACCTCTCTGAAAGTCAGTGCCCTCATGGGTTAAATAGAAATAAGAGGAGAGTCTATTTCACAAGCTGGTAAGGACTGAATGAGAGAATGCTTTGAAAGCTTGGTAGAGAGACTGGCATACACCAAGTGCTCAAAAAAGTCAGCAATCAGTATTACTCAGCAGGCGTAGCTGTGAACGTGAAGCCGACTCTCGCAAACTCCACCAAAGGGCTCCTCATTCTTACGTGATAAAAATAAGACCAGGCCCTCCTTGGTTGCTGCCTCCTGCCTCCTGCTAGGATGCAAATTCACAGCCAAAAGACCAGTGACAGCAGTTCCTCCTCTATAGGCACGATTTGGCAGGCCAGGCTTTGGCAAACAGCCCACCATACCCATGAAAAAACCCACGATTGTTTCCGCTGGAGGCTTTTCGATCCCCTTAAATAAAACATTACCACCCTCCCCACCCCACCCCCAGGACAGAATCAGCCCTGCAGCCAGCTCCTCCTGCTGGGTCACTCCAACCAAGCAGGCCAGGCAGGATGACTCAGCAAATATGGGCCTGCTGCAGGGTCCGCCCACCCTCGGGTCAGCTGCGGCCAGAAAAGGAAGGCCTCTGTGAGGCAAACAGAAAAGGACACTGCTCAGGTCCACTGGGTGCAAAGCGTCCTTTGTCTGTGGGGACTTCAGACAAGAACCGCCCATGTTGACATTTCAGTTGGCAGAGCAGGCTCAGCCTGGCTGGGAGAGTCAGGAACTCCTGCAGAAGCTGCAAAAGATAGTCCACACTTGTTTAGCCCAGCCAGTTGCCACAGTCCCTGTCCTGTGTGCACATTAATGCACATAACCTCAGACATTTGAATTTTCTATTATTTTCCTTATTTTTGAGATGGGGACACTAAAGCACAGGGAAGGCAAATAACTTGTTCAAGGTAACACAGCCATGAAGTGGGTAAGTGGGGCTTACGCCAAAGAACTGTGGTTTCTAAGCAGGTGCACACAGCATCCAGGTCTGTCCTGCTGGCTGCATGTTATTGCCTCCTTCTCTGCTCTGCTGCTTCTGGGGGAGCCCAGAGCTGAAGGCAGCATTTCATGGTTTCTGGAGCCTGGCTCCTTTCCTCTGTCCCCTTCACTGCCCAATAAAAGGACTCATCCTCTCTTCTCTGGATGCCATCACTACCTCCTCACCAGTTCTCCTGCCACCCAGCTTCACTCTTCCTGACCATCTCAGCTCCCATTTCATGCTCCAGCAGTAAATACTGATTGGAGGACTCCCACAGGCAGAGCTGGCATCACCCATGTCTTGGCTGGCTCATGCTGTCCTGATTGCCCAGAACACACCTTTCTTTCCCATCCTCTGCATGGTCAACTGCTCCTATAGGACTCACCACCTTCAGGAATGAATTTCCCTATCCTTAGCCCAGATGAAGTGGCTGGTTGAAGCTCACAGAACATCCAGCGCATATTTCTTGTGTGGCATTTGAGGCCCGAGAGCTTGTCTATGACTTTGCATCTCCCATGCTGGGCATCATTCCTGACATCTAGAAGGTGCTCCATGAAAGTCTGTAACACAATGCAAATGAAGGTGGTCTCCATCAGTCCGACCAGAGTCAACATGCTCTACCACTGCAGATCCATGGAGGGTGCATGTGGTTACTGAAAATGCTGCTCTCTACAAACTTCTAGTTCTCTGCCTTCCAGGCCCACAGTAGAATGGCCCTCCCTTGCTCTGTGAGGTTGGGAGAGGGCCATGTGGTCAGCTCAGGCCAATAAGATGTGAGCGGAAGTGAGCGATGTTACTGCTGTTGAGCATTCGCTTACGTACGGGGTGAGATCCTCAGAGCAGCATTTCCTCTCTCATGGTGACCCCACATGGGAGATGGTGGCTGCTCCATCAGCCTGAGGCCTCAAGTTATTGCAAGAAGCAAACCTTGCAATGAACATATAATGTGACCAGGATATAAAACCTTTGCTGTTTTGAAGCTTCTGAATTTATTTTTCAGCATAACTTATCTAATCCTGAAGGAAATAGCTCGAATCTGTTATTAACTCATATGTGTTACTTTAACCATTTGCCAAGAATGGTCTTTCAGGTAGAACATGGGATGCAACACCTACCATTCATTCCTAATAGTAAACACAACAAGAACTAGCAAAGATTAATGAGTGACTCAGAAACAAATAAATGCTCATGGACATTCTGTGTATTTCTAATGAGTACATTTATCTACCAAGTACACTCAACCTTTTTATCCTTTCGCTCCTCACCACAAGCCTGGGCAAGACTCAGGGCATACACGGTCCACCCCATTTGGAGAAAACTGTGTCCCAGAGAAGATGTTAACTCCCCAAGGTCACTCAGCAAGAAAAGTGAAATCAGAGCTGGATTTTCTGACTCTTAGCCTCCACCCGACCTCCAGATGCATAGGGTTTAAAATATTATGACCTGTGAAGTAAAATTTGAGCCAATCTAAGGGAAAAAAAATCAAATGCTAATTCATTCATAAAGGACTTCTTAATCTTTTGATTCTAAAGCATTCACAAATGGTAAGAGTTATATTTTGTTGTTCTTTTATCATAATTCTTGTCATTTTTATAGCAAATAAATTTTCCGATACTACAAAAATGCTGAATATCATGAATTAATAACTGGCATTTAGTTGTGGTGATGGATGATCCGTGGCCCTGCTGGAGCCTGAACCAGAGGACAGTTGGTGGTAACTTGAGAAAGTATCTGGGAATTCCAATCTGGTCTCCAGCCACCTTTATGTACACCACTTATGACCAAATAATCAGCTTTTTATTGAGGTCAACCACACATGGATTCAAAGTGGTGGTCCTCAGAGCACCACCTGGGGCCCAAAGGACTTTAGAAATGCATCTTTGCTCTTAAATGAGGCCCAATTCAGGTAAGAGTCGGAGATGAAAGGACACTTTGGAACAATGGTCCTTCTTCAGCAAATGTTTTTGTTCTGTGTTCCCTTTGGCTTCAGGGTGCTCTCTAGTCCTCTTTCACCTTCTCCTCAACAAGCCTGCCAGGTGTCTCCACTTGCTTCTGTTGGCCATATGATTCTGTCGTATATTAGACTTTCTCCTCAATATCTTCAGACTGCAGGCTTCCTCTCCTCTGTAGTTTATGGATTCTATTGGTGGCATGATCCACTTCTCCTAGTGGCCACCATCACCATGTCACCCTGCCAGGATGGGGCTTCGGAATTGCTCACGCCTGGGACATCATTTGGCAATAGCAGAGTTCTTGCTATTGGGCTACAGTAGAGCTCTTATAAAACAAAACTTTTGTTTTAGAATCTTGACTTAATAAAATGATACTATTCTCCTTTCACTCCTTTACTCTCTCCCTGTTTTCCTCCCTCACTCTCCTTCCTCTCCTTTCCTTTTTTTTTTTTTTTTTCCTCTCTCTCTCTCTAATTTCAAAATGCAGTTATAATTAAATGGGCATTGGCTTCCATTGTAGGGTTGGGTATTTGGGGCCAGTTCTCCTATTGAGTGTGTTCTACCTTGCCTTTTATCACTATTTTAATGATAAGACCTCAAAGGAGGCTCAGGATCAGAGAATGAGCTCAGAAAAAGAGGATTGACGTGACTGCTGACCTTATCTTGCACTTGATGTAGAATGGACCAGACTCCCCAGTTCTCATGTGCCCAAATTCCCCGTTCAAATATGTAGCCCAAGTGCCTCAGTAACAAACCATGTAGACCGGTCCAGAGTGTTGTCTCTGCCAACTGCAGAGACACTATTGCCCCCTGTGACCATTGGCAATAGTAAACAGCTCTGTCATTCTCATCATCACTCTATTTTCCTTTGAAAATAACTAATGTCTTCAATTATCACCTCTGAAATGACTTAAGTATCTTTATCTTTATTCCCTGTTGAATCTGAATGATTCGATTCTTGCTTCCAAGAGTAATAAACAGAGATAGAAATAGAGATAGACAGGGAGCATGCACTTCCTGAGCATCATCCACTGCTATGCACTTTAGATGCTTCATCTTAGTTCACCCTTGCAACCATCAGATGATTAAATAACTTCACTAAAATCACAGAACTGGGGTGGTGGAATTGATAGCACCCTGAAGAGAGTGCTTGATATAATTTCAATTTTCTTAAGTTTACTGAGGCTCATTTTATGGCCTATTATATGGTCTATCTTGGAGAAAGTTGTATGTGGGGTTAAATAGAATGTGTATTCTGCAGTTGTTGGATGAGATGTTTTGTATGTATCTGTTAAGTTCATTTGTTCCAAGGTATAGCTTAAATCCACTGTTTCTCTGTTGACTTTCTGTCTTGGTGACCTGCCTGGTGCTGTCAGTGGAGTATTGAAGTCCCCCAGTATTACTGTGTTGCTGTCTATCTCATTTCTTAGGTCTGTTAGTAATTGTTCTATAAATTTGGTAGTCCAGTGTTAGGTGCATATGTTTAGGATTGTGATATTTTCCTGTTGGACAAGGCCTTTTACCATTACATAATGTCCCTCTTTGTCTCTTTTCACACCTGTGGCTTTAAAGATTGTTTCGTCTGATATAAGAATAGCTACTCCTACTCATTTTTGATGTCCATTTGCATGAAAGAACTTTTTCCACCACTTTGCTTTAAGTTTATGTGAGTGTGTTAGGGATTCTCTTGCTCTATTTTTGTGCTGGTTGGCCTCCTGCCAGGAGGTGGTGCTTTCCAGAAAGCATCAGCTATAGTAGTGATGGACAGGCAGTGGCGAGGCCCTAGAACTCCCCAGATTGTATGACCTTTGTCTTCCACTACCAGAGTGGATAGGGAAGGACCATCAGGTGTCTGAGCTCAGACATTCCTTGGGTGGGTCTTGCTGCAGCTGCTGTGGGAATGGGGGTGAGATTACCAGGTCACTGGAGTTTTACCTAGAAAGATTATGGCTGCCTCTGCTGAGTCATGCAGGTTGTCAGCAAAGTGGGGAAAACCCAGCAGTCACAGGCCTCACCCAGCTCCCACGCAAACTCCCACTGTGCCCTCCACAACAGCCCACAGTCTGTTTCCAGGTGGAGTGCGGAACAAGCTTAAAAACTTGCCTGAGGCTTTCTACCTCCCAGCTCCGAGAGAAAAGGGCTTTAGTTCTTCCCCTCCCTGTGAAGTCTTCATTCCTTATTAGCACCCTCCTCTGAGTTCTGGCCAGGCGGCTTCTGGCCCTATTCAAATTGTTACAGAAGTCACCTAGATAATTCCTTCTTTCTGTATAGATTTACCCCCTGCTTCTCTGGCCACCCTCCCGATGGATCCCTGCGGTGCCTGGCAGGAATGCGCTGCTTGGGGTCCCAGCGAGCTCCCAGGGCCTTTCTGCTGCTTCCTCTACCCCTGTATTTCACTTCATTCTCTAACTTGACTCAGCTGCAGGTAAAGTTGGAAACTTCTCCCGCAAACAGACTTTCAGCTTCTCCAGTGGGAGTGTAGGTTCAGGAGAGGAGGGTCTCTCTTTTCCACTTCCCCAGTTGGGGCACTCACAGTATTTGGGGTGTCTCCCAGGTCCTGCAGGAGTAGTTTACTTCCTTCGGAGGGTCTGTGGGTCCTCTCGGGATTGCTGGTTTGTTCTTACAGTCGATCTGCAGCTAAAATTCACAATGCAAGCCTCCACAGGCCGCTCTGTCCAGAGCTGCAATCTAGTCCCCCTCCCATCCACCATCTCTCTGTGGTTATCTCCCCACATGTATTCTGTTTTGCACATGCTTGCTCACAGAGTTCCCTCTGTTGTAAATGGTCTTTATCCCTCTCTCCCGCTGAGTTCTAACTTGCCATCAAGGGCTCCCTTATGTACAAAGCATCCCCTATGTGGCCAATATTTCCAGATTATTACCACTTTCTGAATCCTATACTACCATTTGGACCACACGTTTGATTCTAAGCTGGGGATGCCCTACTCATCTTTATATGAAGAAGTCTAGTCTCAGCTACTAGATTATACATTCGGTGGATCTTAGATCAACTATGCCCAAATGTTTCTGATGTTTTAGAAAAGTCTGAATCAAAGTATTTTGCTTGTTGGTAAGAGCATAAACCCTGATTTTGGCTTCAGAACCAAAAGTAGGTGAAGAGTTATTGATCTCCTTTTCTCAAGTACCTAGTTCAAGGGTATGCAATAAAGACTTTTCAAGTCCAGCGAGGTCTTCCTGTAGCTACATGGCCATACTTGAGTCTCATTTCATCTTTCAGCTCATTATTTAACATGGTGGGTCAGGATTGGATGAGTAGTTGTCTGAGTATAAACCTTGGAATTCTAAGGTTCTAGAGACCTGATTTTCAGGAGTGTTCTGGGGAAAGAGGAAGGAAGAAGGAGGGTCAAGCAGGTAGGATCCCTCATCTTTCAGCTCTTCCTACCTTCTTCAGAAATGCTCCTCATGGATCTAATTCACAAGTTTGTGTTCCTGCCCACAATTTTATTTCTACACAACATTCTCCATGACTTTAAAAGATCTCAAAGTTACTGGAATGTATGGTTTCTGAAGTCTATTGCAGTTTTTCAATTTTTTAAATCTGTTGTTGAAGATGAAGGAGAACGGGCCTAACACATACTGAATGCTCACTGTGTACCAAGCACTGTGTAGGAACTCTGATAATCACCGTTTTATATGTCAGGACAAGGGCTTGCAGTAAAGGCACGTGATCAGTAAGTGATTAATAAGGTTGAGATGTGAGTTGAAGTTGGTGAGCCTAAACTGCTCTACTGCCTGCCATTTTTAGTTGTCTAGGAAGAAAGGTTAGGAGCTAGAACATAGCCTCCTTTGCCTGCTTTGTGAGAAGAAGATGATGTGAATGATAAAACAAGGCATTTGCGCTTACAGAAGTGTTTGATGAAGGTGAGTCAGCCACGTGGTCAACTTTAATCTCATCTATAGCTTGAATAGCTATAGTGGCCATGACTGGTGAATGCTCTTATCTTTGACTGGATTGCTTGAAGTCTAGAAGAAAATAGGGCTGGCAGGGATTTAACTAGCCCTGATCTTCCAAGAGGTTCACATTTCTGACAATATTGCTGACCTCTTCAGCAAATCACAATATGGCTCAGAACTCATGGTGTTGAATTGAACCCGAAAACACCTTCTCTAAGCTAGCCTGTAGAACCAGACACACAAGGCAGTGTCTCAAGCTAGTGAATACCTTGTATATAACTACAAAAATCTAAGACTTTATACTGACACAGAGTCACAACAGAGTCTCTTAAATTAAAAAAAAAAAAGTGAGGGAACTGCCAATTTACATTCAGAGAGAGCAGGGTATTTGCCTGAGGGTGGTTCCAAGACAAGCAAGATTTAGCCACAGCCAGACCATTTGCCTGTGAACCTTAATCAGGAATTGAATGATACAATAAAATCTGTAAATTCCGTGTATCTGGTGTCCCCAAGATGTCTGACAGGGCTGGTCCAACCACCTAATGAACCCATCAGAAGATTTTCTTCTCTGCCGACAGGGATTCTCTGTGCATATAGCTTGATTGGGAACCAGGCTAGGATTCAGCATAAGCTGCTCTGTAAATCTGATTTTTCCAGGAGCCACCGAGTAATTTCACTAAGAAGTTGTGAGCCTAGTTTTGAAACTCTTCATATTGCCATAGAAATGATCACTGCACTTAATTCCAATGAATCCTGTGTGTGGCAGGCGGTAGAGGAAGGAGGGTTTGTTGTTTGGTTTTGTTTTTAAACTGGCACAGAGGAACTGAGTTAAGGGGGGAAATTAGGCTTTTACTAAAGGAAACACACACACACATACAATAGAGCATTTCAGAGGATGCGTATGGTAAGGTATAATACTTAATAAAAGAGAGAGCATTTCTCTCCTACTTTTTGTAATTTCCCGCCTCCTCCTGCTCATCCTTCAAGAGTCATCTTTCTTCCCCAACACACTCACAAAAGGCTTCCGTTAGTACCTTTT